CCCCAAAACCCCAAAACCCCAAAACCCCAAAACCCCAAAACCCCGTGATAAGAAACAAAAATTGAATTACTTGTGCTAATTTTTATTGAAGGGAACCTGGAACAATATCGTTGAGTCTTATACCTTCACAATCTCCTTCTTCCCAACCATCAAGGTCAATCTGTGAGCCAGGCTCGAAGCTATATTGTGATAACTTCCTTGAAACCTTCTCTAATATCTGAGACCAGGTTTCATGGTCTTTCTTAGGTTTATAGACGTCTGAATCGGATGAAGTCTGCACTGTTTTGGCATCTTCAACAACTTCTTCATCATAGCTAATCTCATCTAGTTTTTAACCTGAGATTTTACCTAAAATCTTGTTTCGTTCTTTGTTCACTTTGCTAACCAGTTTCTCAGTCGAGAGATCTAATCACCAATTAAGATCGGATTTACCTGATTTGATATCAATGAGTGCTGAGGAAACCTGTAAGTCCTAGATGTATCAAAAATTAGAATATAATGTGCCCACAAAGTTGGTATCGATTAAAGCCCCAAGTTTACCTTCTTCTCAAGAAACTTAACTCAGAAGGTACGGTTTCTGATATCAGAATAATGGTACAACTTAGGCAATTGTTTCTTCTCAGTAGGAACATCTTCAAGATTCTCCTCTTGGTAATCTTGCTGTTTGAACCTTGGGGTAGACTGGTCAAAATGGTTCTCCATATTTTTAGTATCAGACATCCTCCTGAGCAACTTGCTCTTAGGTATCTGCTGGGTTAACAACATATCAATATTTTGGTTCTTTTCCCTTATTATTTGTTTCCTAAAATCACCTTTGATTGTATGATAATAATCCTGGTCGCCATAGGGATCACCAAAATCTAAAAATATATTTTTTAATTTAATCAAAGCTTCCCTTACTGTTATACATTGAACTACGAGTTTCAACAAACTGTTGTTGAGGTTGGATATTTTCAGAAGACTGCTTTCTCCTTAATACAGCCCTCTGCTTCTTGCTTGAGCTGGCATGAACTGTGCTTTTGTCAAATATGGGTTTATTTATGCGAACAAAGCCCAATTGACCCAATTCTGGACCTTTCTTAATGTCTCACCTAACTTCTTTTGCTTCAGATAAGACACCAACAGGAGAGGTTGCCTCCTTAGCTTCCTTGTTTAACTTCTTAAGTGACTTCATGCTACTCCTTTTATTCTTAGACAGAATGGATTTATTCTTGGCTCTTCTTGCAAGTCCTTTCTTTCGCTTCATTTTAAATCAAAAAAATATTATTTTACGTTAGAAGCAATAGTTCGTTAACCAAGAGGGGTTTTGGGGTTTTGGGGTTTTGGGGTTTTGGGG